AGACTGTATGAAATATCCTTTCTATTTGTCGTATATAATACTAAATTATTTTAGTGTTTTATGTGATTTGCTATTGAAGTAAAGTTTTAAAATGTTAATAAAATGTCAGGAGAATTTGTTACGCAGATTGTTTTTTTGTGTTTTTTTTTCTTGTGTTTAGACTTTATATTTATTTAGTAAAGATCTGTTGTTCATCCCCAAATTGCTTATTCAGTCTTATAGCAATTTAAGTTGGTCAGTTATATTGTAACTGACCTAAATAAGAGACTGTGCATATTGATAAATTAGTATATGAGCTCAAGTTTTATCAAAAATTTTGTTTAATTTAATGGATGAACTATTAAGATCTTAATCTTCTGTCAGATTATTTAAACTGGAAAAAGTCAGAGTTTTTCAATAGAATTAAAGCTTTTATATAAAAGTTATACAAATTAGAGTTTTGTCATTTGGATACAAGTGATGTCGGGGTTTTGAAAACCTCTGGACAATTAAACAAAAAATGATCAACCATTAGTGGATTTGACTAACCAAATTACTGAACAACATACATACTTCAACTTCAGGAATTAAAAAAAATCTACTGATCAATTTAACATGTTTTAGATATTAAAACATTTCTGCAGAAGTTGTAGAAATAGGTATCCCTATCTCATAATACTTTTATGTGTTGATGAAAATCTATCTGTGTACGGATGCTAAGTGACTGAGAACAACGATCACTTCATTTTGAAATAAGATCAAGGTAGTACACATTCATAGAGAGATAATATTTGAATAATCAGTTTTTAAAAAAGCCGAGATTGAAGTGAATAATTAATTTATTGTATCTTTTTTTATTGTTCTATAGTATTTGTGCTTTCGAACACTCTCTGGTCGGTATATTACTGAATAATGAAGACTACTCCTAAAATAATCTGATTTATAAAATTATTAATGTAGAATAAACGCTTCAATTTACATGATCTAAATCTAAACTCGATTTTAATATTACAAACGGTCATTTTTCTTTAGATAGAGTAATAATGGCAATTTTTTGATCTAAAATGAAGGACTTGAAAAAATTATCCTAATATTTACTGAATACAGTAAAATATATATACACCTAGTATAATACTTATATCATTGTCACTAAGGGTTTGAGTTATCGTCTTGTTAATATTTGTGAGTGAATTCTGATCAGTCTTTGTTAATGGAATAACAAACTCTTATCAGTAATGATTTAAACATCATATCCATTAAACAAGTTATTGGTTATCTGGATTCGATAGCTCAGTGGATAACGTGCTAGTATATGAAGTGAAAAGTTGTGGATTTTAGCCTAAACGTGAACACCAGTCCAGAGACCCTAATACATTCAGCTGGTAAATCTCTCATTGGACAAAACGAGCTTACTGGATTTCATTAATCACCGCGTTTCATTTACACTAAAGGAATAATATAATGCTGTTATTTAAGTGTAAATCCACTTCTCTGAGAATAATTCGGGGGTTTTTTTTCTTTCAGTATTCTTTCCTGCATTTCTTTTTACAAATTTATCTTTAGTATTTTTATTCGTATCTCTAAAGTAAAACTCTGTAGCTATCTCGTTTGTTTGTTTTTTCCACGTGCTCCTTTCTCCACTCTTTTTTTTCTTCAAAAAACGTTTCTTAACTTCTACCTTTTAAATTGCTTTATTTCTAACAGGAAGAGTTCTTCGAAATCTACACATCATTATTGTGACCGGAATTAGTAGAATTATTTCTCTTCAATTGAAATATGTTAATTTCAGTAATTATTTTTAACAATAATTTAATTTCGATTCTATAAAGTGTATTTAATTTAGTTTTTATTATTGAACTTCATTTGTATATTCAAAAAAGAGAAAAAAGATTGATCAACCAACTGTTCAAAGAATAAACACTCATATCTACATATGCAATTGTGTTTGTATATGAAAATTGGATGGAGAGATTACAGTCTTCTTATTGTAAATGCGATAATGAGAACTGGGATAATGCGTACAAAATTATAGATATATATATATATATAGAGAGAGAGAGAGAGAAAGAATTAAATTGCTTTATTTGATTTGGTTTCTGTTTCATTGCTTTCTATCCACTTTTTTCGCCTTATTTTTGTGAAGGGAACCAGTTGTTTGAAAAGTCTTTATAATGAATTGACATCAATTGGAGAATTGCCGGAAATCATGGAATATTGAATTTACCTCGTCAGTAGTATATTATCACAGATGTATACACATGGATTAAAACTTAAGAAGCCAAGTCTAACAGTAAACATGATATTGTCAGACCAACTAATTGAAATTTCAAAGATCAACCTATTTGATTTCTTTCAGTTTGTGAAATAGAAGAATGATCCTTTTCTAAGATCACTGGTGAATGTTTTGATCTACTTCTAAAGGTTGACTCTGTCTGTCACTGATTCCTGTCTCTGGGGTGCCTAATAAACAACTATCTGGACATTAATAGTTCTTCAATTGATGTCGTTTCAAGATGAAGGTTGACATTTTTTCGTACAAATTCATTTTAAAATTTTATCAGTGTTATGGTTTTTAGAAACCTTTTTCCACGATATCTACTATTTTTCAATTATAATTATTTATTACAAAAATGAGAACTCATTTCACCATATTTTGTTAATTAAAAAATTTGATTATTAAAAACAAGACCTATTACAGTAATTTCTACATTGGTTTATCACTCCATTATGAATTTAGTCAGTATCAAACAATAAGCAGAATACAAAATTGATTATCATTTCATAATCAATTGGTGTAGTCGTTTCGTTTGTATATGAAGTCACTTGTTATTCACACTATCTGTGGGTAATATACTTGATTGAGATATCGAGTGGTGAATGTTTAAGCCCTTCCTACCTCCAAAAAATAGAAACAGTGTATAAAACTACTGCCTACTATTCATTGACTTTCAATAATTCGCTAACTGATATGAATATATATGATGGAAAATGTCTTGAAACAGTGTTTGTCTGTAAAATTCTTTCTGATTCATATGATCTTTAAGTATGATATAGCTATGTATAATGTCAGTTCATGAATCTTATAAAAGATTTTGGCAAAAAACTCCCAACTGTTCTAGTAATCTTTAGTTTTCATCATTCCTTCATTCTTTTTGTTATTACATTTACCCTTCGTTTATGTTCCTATTCCCCTCAATTTGGTCTTCTTAATCTTCTGCTGTTAGTCATTCCACTTCTGTTTGGTGTTACATACTACTTATATCTGTCAACATATGTAGCATACACCACAATACCATCGTTGACTTAATATCATAATTTTTTCTATTTTAAGAGGTGTGTATTTTCTTTTATTAGTTAAATGATTAAAAACAATACGGCTTTCATTGTCATTCTAGTTAACTTTGAATTGGGGTAAATTTTGAAATCACAAATTTTTCGTGTTGTATATTAGTAAGAGTCATATTATTCAACATAAATTTATTAAATATTAAACAATAAACTGACACTGAAAGCTTGACTTGTAAGAAACTAATCTCTGAAAGTCACAAAACTATAAGAAAATCTATTCATGTGGTGAAAGAGAAATGTAACTTCTAAAGAGTTGTATATATACTTCAGGTTTATATCTTTCTGCCTGGATACTGTAAAATGAAAGTTGTTATTCTCTACTGTCGATTTCAAGTTAAGCATTTTAATCGATTCTATAAATCGGTAAGTAAATATTAACAGAAGTCATTATTTATGAATTATTTGATGGTTAGATACGAAGAGAGAAAACTTTGATTTTTCATAGCTTAATAAATTGTATACACTGTTTTTGTGTTTATTGTGAGAATTTGTACGTTTGTATGTGTATATATAATGAAATACTGTCATACATTGTCAGTAATTCCGAATGACCTGTTTGTATTATACCTCAAAACAAACAAATAATGAGATTTTATTGATCTAATGACAATGAACTGAAGATGGAGGATGTTGTAAGGACATAACATCCTATTTTTATTATACGGTTAATTAAAATTGCTACACTGAGGTACTCTCTGTGTAAATAATTCTTTTGGAAATGTTTGAATAATTCTTGATGTAACTTCATAATAGTATTAAGTGATGAAAGCTTTCTCAAGACTAATTTTTAGTACAGAGCTGTTTAATTCCAGTCAACTAATGAATTTTTTTCCGTATACCTTATCACGATCTCATTGAAATAGATTTTTCTAGTCCCACAAACTATATGCAACTTCACATTACAGACAAGAAATAAATATTAATAATGAATTAGAGCTCCATATGCTTTACAATCTCAAAGAAAAAAACTCGATTGAATAGTAAATGTAATCACATTATTTCAATAAGTGTATCTGAAATTATTCTTATGGTAATTAATGAAAGTTAGTAAAAAACCCTGAACTTAGTGTTGACATTCGTCAGTAAGAAGTACATTGTGCATCAAAACACACAAGTCACTTTTTTTCGAAACAACAGAGTATAAAATGAAAACTAATGCCATGTAAAAACCAATAAATAAGCTATGGTGAGTGATTTTTTTCTGTTCAAATATGTCGTCTTGAAAAGTGACAAGTCTCTTGTTAACTTCATTTAACCAATCATCAATGTATCTTATTATATAAGTTTCATTTATTTGTGTCATACATTTTCTTTTTAAATACCAAACAAATAAAAATCTCATGTAATAGGTACCATTTTCTCTTTAATTTCCTCTCTTTTCTTTCAGAGTTTGTCTACTGGCTAAAAAATCAAATACAAGAATCATTTAAAATAAGGTAAAGTTACACTTTGGATTTTCAATCATAAACCATTCTCTTAATTCAATATTTAGTCTTTTATTAGTGTACAAAAAATAAATTGAGATTTTGTTCAGTCAATCAATCTTCCGGATCACTGACCTTCTTGGCAATAGAATAATATTCAGTTACTTGCTTTAACACCGATTTTCGTGTTCTGTTGTTGTTTTATCTTAATTTCTGTTCAAAATTCATTTTCGTATTCTTTAAAATAAAATGTCAGATGAGGTCATTGTAAATGCGAATGAACAATTCAATTGTTCCAATTGTAATCTATCATTAATTGGACAAAAATATATACTGAATGATGAGAAACCATACTGTGTTGCCTGTTATGAAAGTAAATTCAGTCATACATGTGAATTATGCAAAGAGAAAATTACCTGTGATTCTAAAGTGAGTATTATCTTTTTTTTTGTTAAATTATATAGTTTGCAAAGATTTGATTAATTCAAAATGTTTCGCATTATCGAACAATATACAAAAGAAAAAGCCCTTGAGATGTATTGAGTATTTCATTGATACATCATTTTACTTTGGAACTAATTTACAATATTCAACTTCCACTTTATACAAAATCAATTCATAAGACCTTTTGAATCCTGCTGGAAGTATGTTAATATTCATGTAGTGATTTTCGGTTCATTCGTCTATACTTCCCAAGGTCAGGTAGTTCTTAATATATCATTAGTAGTCAAGACTTATCACTTCCAACTGATTAAATCAACATTGAGTACACGACACAGGGATCATGCTATACTCTTGATCGACAGATTTAGGTCAGTATTTGTTGACTATGGAGAACAAATAGTTATTATTTATTTACGTAGTACTTATAACATTTTGATATAATGTTATTAGGAGTAAAATAACTTCGCAAAGTCATTTCATCAGTTGTACTGATTATTTAAGTCAATTAAGAACGAAATTGTTCGAAAAGTAAAATGAATTCATTCAGTATTTTACTATCGTACACAACCTAATAAGTTTATTTAATTCACAATATTCGTATTAATAAGTATCGCCTATTTTTTTCATTTGTCAAACTCTTTGGCTCAGCAGCTTGAAGTTCCGTATTTAAACTATGTGTTTCAAACCAGTTTACTAAAATCCGTCAAAAAAGTTAGTTCTCATACCGTAAACGCGGTAGGTAGCCTAATATGTCAATTTATATCTAGTCAGAAAGACCTACTTAGCTATTATCATCGTAATTATGCATTGTTAATATATGAAGTATATATATATATATAGGAATTTCAGTCTTATCCGATCTTGTCAGTCATAGAAAAAATTACGAATGGCTAGTAACACTTTGTCACTTCAAAAAACATCTGTTTTGAAAGTCTGGCTTACAAATTCCTAGAGGATTATACAAAGCCTTTTCATAATAGAAATGGTAGTAATTTGTATTATTATTGTCTGGACAATAATTTCACATCTGAATTTGTTGAAGTGGTGACTTTTTCAAAAACTGTCTACTTCTCTTTAAAGTATCAGTATAATTGTATGTTCTTTGTCTTATCTCTATTATCTTGTCTCATAGAATTAATTTTTTTCAAATACATTTCTGTTACTTAAAATCTCAAAAACTTTTGAATAAATCATAAAATAATTTAGTAAAATTGAGAAAACTTCATTGGAAAATGACCATTATGTGCCCATTATATTGGTTTAATTCTCCTAAATGATTTTCCTAATGTTTTCATTGAAAATAATAAAGTAGAAACCATTGGATAACTTTCGACGACCACTTAACATGAAAAATACGGTGTATTCTATTGTAGTGAACGAGAACACAAGTGCAAGGATAACCGAATGTATTACAACACAAAATTACAGAATCTTTTAGTAAAATCTGGGAACCATACAGTAAATTCTTTATTTGCAAAATGTCAATCAATTGTCTCAGACTTCATTGTTCTTTCAATTCCACATCAATCATTCTCTGTTCTCGTTCTCTTTCCTTCGATATTCTAAACTTTCTGTCGCCGGACATTTTACTGTCGATTGATGATACATACCATTTATACTGTCGATATCAGTAGCACACACCACACTATGTTGATTTACTTAGGCTAAGAACCGCATTGAAATTTAATCGATAGAATTCGATCAGCAATAAAACAGAACTAGACATTGTGCTGGTCACTATTCAATAGTTTGTCAATTTTAAATATTTCAGTCCTTGTTATATAAAAATAAAAGTTTACCTGACAAATATTTTGTTCAGTTCTATGATTAGTCAGTGGAACTCGCAATATTTTACAAAATCTTACATCTACACTTTCGGATTTTATAATTTGTTTAATTTGCTGGGTAGTTTTTTTCATTAGAATTAACTTTTGTATTGTTGTAAATTGGTAAGTTATAAAAGTATTGGTCGTTGAAACTCTCAGCAAATACATTAATTACGTAATAATTACATAATGACATTTAAATTACCATTGAGTAGTTGGAAGAAAGAGGATTATTAATAGTCAAAGTGATCAAGAAGTTGCTACGTTGCGTAATATAAGAAACAAAGAAGGAACAGAATTTTAACGGATGGTCAATAGGATAGTAGTTACGTAAGAATCAAGAGATGAATGTCGAGAATTTATTAAGTTCAAAAGCAACAGAAACAAAAATTTTTTTAAAAAAACAAGTGGAAAAAGTATGAAAAATAGTTATTTTGAAGGAAATCTTATACTGATGGTCAGGACAGAGGAAGTGGTTGTACGAATCTGTTATGAATGCAAAGGTCGGTTTTGTGAACATGGATTGCGATTGCTTCCGCAATGTGCGAGAGGCGCACTCGCAAACCATGTGGCAAATTTGATGGGATATTGTAGATAACCTTAAAAGCTATATTCAATTCAACTTGATGACCTGTGTCAACCAAGTGAGAGAGAATAGAACTTTTAATCACTTTTACCTGTCCTTTGCTTAACCACGATGAATGATGCTCTGTAATATGATGACGGACTTGCCGAATTGTACACCCTATATGACTGGCTCCACAGGAGCAGTTGAAACGATAGATACACATAGATTTGGTGAATTTAGACAGTCTGTCTTTATTGGCTGTTCTTGTTTTGGGATGGTTGTAGAAGATGGCATTTAATCTGGCGGCATTAAATGTTTTATGTACGGCTCTTCTTAGTTTCTGAGTCAAGATTTCTTCAATGGTGTCATTTATGAATTGTAGTTTTATGAATAGTACCTTGTTAGGGACGGTGGGTATCTTTGTTCTTGTTTTCTTCTCCATCATATGTTTGTCGATGAATTTCACGGCATACCCATTCATACTAAGTAGGTTCTGAATATTGTTCAATTCTTCTTCAATGGTGTCTTCAGAGCAAATCATTCTAGCCTGATGAGTCAAGATCTTTATCAAGATCCTTTTGTATCTGATTGGAACTGCTCTGTGGAAATGAGTATATTGACCTGCTGCTGATTTTCTGTGTACCCTTCTTTTTATAGTTCCGTCTGTTCTAGTTAGTTGGACGTCTACAAAAGATATGCTATTATTTTGTTCATCTTCTGATGTAAAAATTAATTGATGGACGAACGTTATTAAATATATTAAGTAAATTGTCTTTATCATTTTCTTTTTCTAATACTATAAATGTATCGTCTATATAGCGATAATAAGTTGGTAAATGGGTAATTGTACTTTTAAGTGGTCCATTTTCCAGTTTTGCAAGGAAAATATTAGCCAGTAGAGGGCCCGATGGTGTTCCCATGGCTACTCCATCTAGTTGTCTATAGTATTCATTGTCAAATCTGAATTAGACGTTCATAGTGCATCTAAGAATTAACTGTTTTATCGCAGATGCGGGAATCGGGGTTTCTATGCGTCTCGCCGTTAGTTCATTGCAAATAAAATCAACCGTTTCGAGTAGTGAAATATTAGTGAATAATGATGATACGTCAAGTGATATCATGAAGTTATTCTTGACTGATAGATTTTTTATGTTCTCAACAAATTCAAAGGAATCTTTGACACTATGTCTGACAATTTCTTTATGTAATGGTTTAAGAATTTGCACCAACCATTTTGCTAAATTATGATACGCTGAGTTATTCATATCTAATACTGGTCGAAGGGGCAAGCCACTTTTGTGTGTTTTTGGTAGGCCAAATAGTCTTGGTGTAATTGTTCCTGTAGGTTTCAACATTTCGAACACATTTTCTGAAATAAAACCTTGTTGTTTAACTTTTTTCAGTGAATCTGTTAATTGCTTTTCAATCTTGTCTGCTATGTCGTTCTTCACAGCCAGTTTCTGAAATTTGCTTTTATCATTTAGAAGGGCTTTCATTTTGTTCATGTAGTCATTTTTATCCATGAGTACTATCCCATGTCCTTTTTCACGTTTCATGATTAATAAATTGTCATTAGTTTTAAGTTTTCTTAGAGCTTCTGTATGTCTTTTCGTCAAAATCCCTTTCGTGTTATGTCTATGATTTACGTATTTAAAACAACAGTCGACTAGTGTTGATTTAAATATTTCGACATTATCTTTTGATGAAGTTACTAGTTCTGACGTTTAAGCATAAAGATTTTCGAATTGAATTTCAACGTCCATTTTATTGACTGTTTTCTTAAAGTCACAAAACTTAGGGCCTAATGATAACTCTTCTAACGCAGTTTTATCCAGCATAACATTAGAGAAATTGTGTATGTACTGACCTGGATTAGATGGAAATTTCATTTCTGGAATCCGATTGTCTAGATTTTTCTTAAGTTTCTTTTCCTTTCTTGAGTTAACAACCATCTCCTCATAGTCCGGATATTGTTCTCTTAATTTATCAGGGAGATCTTCTACCGCGTAAATTCTCTCGTTGATATTTTTTACCATCTCGACAATTTATGAATTTAGAGAATCGATTTGGTTAAGGGTGTAGCGTTTGCGAGTCCTTCCATTTGGTCGAACTCGAGAGCGACGTTAAAATTTCCAATACAACTTTGGTGGTTGGTTTCTATGCACTCCTTTATAAAATCAACATTTGTCATCGCTTCATTGAGCCTTGAGCTAAACTTCAGATACTCGTTGAGAACCTTTAACGCAAATGTTTGCTCAGGACGTTTCAATATAGTGAAAATTCCCACTTTGCCATTTGGTAAGAACGAGAAAGTTGTTCAGTTCTCCTTAGCTTTTCAATATTTATCCAGTGAGTGGCACTCCGAACTATAAACTATTCATAAATTAAGCAATCTTTACAAACAAATTTAAATATCGGCTAATTTGACGTATTTAATGAGAAGTTAGATATTTTTAAGGCTAGAAAATAAATTTGACAAACTGTTGTTTATATCGGATATACAAACTATTATATTGATAACAGGAATATTTTAAAGATAGTCTTTCTGCACTGATATCAATCACAAAGCGGCTGAACGTTATGGAAAGTTT